GAAGTAAGTTTTAGGTTGGGTTTCAGATTAACTTCTATTACACAGTCGGCTGAATAAGAGACAAGAAGAAAGTGAAGTAAAGGAGGGAGGTGATGTGAACCAGAAGGAATAGCTCGGAGCTCATTTAGGAAGGGGGAAAAAAGCCAAAACACACCAAACCCGGGTCACTCAGACGAGAGGAGACTTCATTTCTGGTCTTAAAAATACACTGTTGGCGGACAATAAATCTGAAACGCGTGGTCCTGGCAAGCAGATCCTAGAGACGGACAAAGTTATCAGAGACCATTCGGAAATCGAGACGCGAGGCTTTTTTTTTTTCGTAATATTTCGAAATGTGGCTCGGGATCGTGTGAAAGGACTTTCGTGCAGGAAAGCTGGGGGCTGCTGATTCTTTTATTTTGTTTAATTCTTCTGTGATTGCCTTTTATTGCTGAGTTGAGGCCATAGAAATCTGAAGGTAAGAGAACTCACTTTAAAAAAAAAAAGTCTTGGCGATGCGCATAGTTTGTAACTTCGGACAGTTTCCTGCCTTGGCACCCCTTCTCCGGGGCGCCCCCCGCCCCCCAGCCTTCTTTTCCTACTTGCCCGCAGTCTCGCGGAGCCCTGTGCTTATCTACGTCGCTGGGACTGGCGATTTCCTTGTTCCTCCTGTGCAACGGTGCGGTCTGGACGCGTCTCCGGGGTGGGTCGTCCGGCCTTCGGTGGGTCTCTCTGCCGGCTGTCGGCCTCCTTTCCTCGCGCTCTTCCCCTGCTTCCCCTCCCTCCGTGTGTCTGTCCGTCGGTATCAGGGACGCAGAAGGTGGGGTTGCCAAAATCTGAATTCCTGGCACCGGCCACGCGACTTTGGAGCCGCTTTCGGCCGAGTTCCACCTTGCCAAGTAACAGCTTTGCTGTCCAACATCGTGTGCTGCTTCGCGAGAAAGTCACATTCGGACCCTTTGGCTAGATTGTGGGGATTTTTTTTTTTTCTTTTTGCTGTTGGTTTTTTGAAAGGGCCTTTCTCTAAAGTCCACCTAAAGGGAATTCTTTTTTTTTTTTAAGCTATCTTTGGAACTTGACAGCTTTTAAAAACACAGGAGTGTGTTAGATGAAATGACGGAAGATGTGTTGTTACTTTATTTTATTTGAGATTTCCGAGACGATTAAGACATTTGGGAGACAAACGCAGTTCTGTTAGCAAATCAAAAGCGAATAATTCACCCAGGAGGGAAAACGTTTCTGGAGAAACTTAAGCTTTTGTCTTGGGGCAAGAATATGCAGAGTAAGAAAGCTAATATGTTGGTGAAATATTTGAATAATCATGTAACATATATGTAAAAAGATATTCTTTGGAAATGAACCTGTTTTTAAATTAATTTCACTGTTGACAGTGGCAATGGCAATAATGTTAACACGGAATAAAATTACACCTAGATTTTTTATGTGCAGTATATGCAATACTTAACTCCCTGCCCCCGCAAAAAGGGAATGCTAGAAAGCTAAGGGGATAGATGATTTTTGACTTTGAAATTAACAAGTTTTCCACGTCTTTCTGCAAATATGAAATGGAACTGGTGTTGCATTTCACTGACTTCACCCTGTTTCCTTCATTAAATATTTCTCTAGTGTGTCAGTAGAACTGCCTTTCTTTTTCTTTCTTCTTTTTTTTTTTGGCTAGTCAAGAAAACAAACAACACAGATCAACCAGAAACCAAACAAGCCAAAAAACAAAACAACAATCCCAACCTTTTGCTAGAGTTTGAAGTGTGCACTGCTGTTGTTATTTATGTTCCTTCTAGACATCCAAGGAGGGGGGAATCTCCAGTTGCCATTTGAGTTGATCAGCATTGAGAGTTGAAGAGAACAACTTGAAGTTTGTGATTTTATAAATAAGAAATTGTTAAAATCTGTTCTTCTCACTAGAGAGGGTATTTAATGTAGACGCTTTGTTGTTACTGTGAAGAGGTGTCCTGGAAAAAGACTTGCTTTGTGTGTGTGTGTGTGTGTGTGTGAAGCAATTATTATCCTTATCTTCTGTTTCAGTTTTTCTTTTTAAAATTGTGGGACAACTTATTGCCCTTTAATTGTCTCATGGCCAAAGGCTTATTCATAATGCCTCTTGACTAGAGACCTCAGAGCACTGGGCTGCTTCTTGAAGTTTGTGGTGAGTTAATGACTTGAATCTGCAACTGAGTTACCTGAATTCTGTGCAAAATTGCTTTCGGTCTATCTACCCACGAGTTTAGTTTTAACTTTTATAGGTATAGATACAGCAGGGTTCTGTGGGGATTATTTAATTCATTACCTTCTGTTCTAGACTATATTGTTTAGTCTTTGATAGGAAACTTCCTCAAGTTTGCGTTAACTGATTGACATTAACATTACCAGCCTTTCTAGTTGTTCACCATCAGATCAAAAACTCTGCAGCTTTTAATACTGATGTTTAAAACATTACTGCTGCTAGTGAGTCAGAATAGCCTCAAAGTACACAAAACCTTAAAAATGGACATTTCCCATTTCAATCTCTGTTTAATAGGCATCCTAAGTAGTGATTGCTATTTAGTGTAGGCCAAATGTAAAATCTCATGAAAAATAACAATATACAAACATATATAATGATGGCAGTTTATTGCAACATCTTTATGTATTTTTTACTTGTTCACAAGCCAGTTTTGGTATTTTGCTTATGATATGTAAAACTGAAATATGCATTGGCATGTGTTAACCAAAACATTAGGTTGACATATTTTGCATGAGTGTTTACCGATGATTTATTTTCACTTGTTTTTCTTTAGTTTCATCAGAAACATCAATGGGACAAATCTCATTATCTTCTTCAATTAAGGGTGTGATTTAATTGTTTCATGGTAGTGCAATGCAAACTGAAAAGGAACAACAATATTTAAAGTTTTTAATTGCATTAATTTAAAGGGCAAAAAATGTGAACATACACACTTAAAAGGGAAGACTATCTGAGCCTAAAATATTGACTTATTTAGTTTAGAAATATTATATTATTATATACTGTTCAATATTATTTTTGTAAAAATCACATTGGATAAAATTAAGGCAGTAACACTCATTCATGCATAACAAGGAAATGAGCATTTTTTGAAACCAATTAATCAGTTTTTGTAATAATTTACAATTGCTTTGTTCCTTTGAAAAAGCAGTACATTGCCACTTCCAAGATAACTTATTACTATTCCTTCTTTATTCATATGCATGCTGTCTGGACTTTTTTTCTTCTAAGGATTCAAAGGAGGAACTATACATTTGAATGAAATATTTTCAAGTAATTAACCATTCTAAATGAATGAACTGATATGGAAATTGATTGTTCTCATCTTCTTCCTTCTAGATCTTAGATGAGTTTTGCAATGTGAAGTTCTGCATAGATGCTAGTCAACCAGATGTAGGAAGCTGGCTCAAGTACATCAGGTTCGCTGGCTGTTATGATCAACACAACCTCGTTGCATGCCAGATAAATGATCAGGTATGTTGTAAAGATTTTCTTGTCTTTCTTTGAGAGCACTAAAGTATCAGTGAAGCCTGAAGAATAAAAATAACAGTGAGCTGCAGTAGACCCTTGTGGCCTGTTTGTTGATATGGTAAAAGGTAATGCCCAAATATAAGATGCAGAATAAAGTCATTTTCAGTACTACTTTCTTTCAGTACTTCTATTTTGGGGAGTTTATTCAGTTTGTGCTAGTAGACTTCATAAATGCTTTAGTTTTCTGAGTGTGATTGAATTAGTTAAAAGCTGAATACTACTTATTGTTAGCTGGTTTTTGCCTTTTTTCTTTGCCATCATAATAGAAAGATATTCAAAGAAAGTATTGAGCTAGTGAAGAACACTTTGTGAATTTTAATTTATGCAGAAATTGGAAGTGATACACTTGGAAGATCATATAGATTTTATTTTAAGTAGTAGGTAGATATATATGTAGGATCTGTGTGCGAACTTATCTGATTTTGCATCTGATTTGCCTAATTATAATGAGAAACACTTTTGAATCAAATGCATTTTTTGTTGTTTATGTGAAAAGTTCAAAAATATCACTGCTTGAAATTGCCTTATGGAGGCCCATGCAGTGAGGTTAACTTTAATAACAATAACCATGAAACAAGATCATGAAAATATCATGAAACATATTTTGCACTCAGTAAAGGGAGGTTATGAAGCTTGTAACTTTGGATGACAGTACCTAAAACGAAGAGAAGGTCAACCTGTTAATTTTTGTTTTATAAACATCACTGGGTTAGAATTTAATTATGTTATCATAATTTATTTCTTTTAACCCAATGGTGACCTAAATCAAATATGTTTCAAAGACTGTATTAAAATGGTGGCTTGGCAAATCTAGTAGGAAAATCACCACCAAGAAAAAGAAAAGTTTAAATTAAGATGTTTCCAATTGAAAGCTAGTAAGTAGTACTAGCGTCATATGGTCTAAGACTATTTCAGTTGTTGCTA